CTGCTGGAGTCTCTGGCACTGGCCTCACCCTTATCTAGCCTTGTGCTGTGTGTGGGCAGCTGGGGAGTAAACCGGCCTGTGCAAGATTCTTTCTGTGTCTCTGTCACTCTGCCTTTCAAAGAAATAAAAATGAATAAACATTTTTTAAAAAGAACAGGTGCAGAACCAGCAATATGCGTTGTTACCGTGGATTACAGATCACATGATTTGGCTGTGTGGTGGGTAACTGTTTTATTAGCAGAAGAATTTCAGTATTTCAAATTTGCTATCTATAGAGGGATTTTTTTTTAAAGAAATACAATTCCACTGAAAGCCACTCCAATGAGCTTAAGTGGATTTTTTAAAATGATTTGTTTATTTTTGTTTGAAAGAGATTTACAGAGAAAAGAAGAAACAGAGAAAGATCTTCCCTCTACTGCTTCTCCACCCAACTGGCAACAACTGCTTGAGCTGAGCCCATCCAGGGGGCTCTTCCGGGTCTCACATGGGTGCTGGTGCCCAAGGACCTGGGTCATCCTCTGCTACTGTCCCAGGCCGTAAGCAAAGAGCTGGACCAGAAGTAGAACAGCTGGCACCCCGATAAGATGCTTGTAGATGAAGAATTAGGTTAGCCTGTTGAGCCACTCTGCCAGCCATCCCTCCTTTTTTGTTTTGTTTTAAATTTGAGAGACAGAGTTACAGAGAGATCTTCCATGTGCTGGTTCACTTCCCAAATGACTGCAATAACAGACAGTGGGCCAGGCCAATTAAAGGAGCCAAAGGCTTTCTCCAGTCTCCTTCATGGGTACAGAGGCCTAAGTACCTGACCCTTCCTCCACTGCTTTCCCAGGTACATTAGCCAAGAATTGTACTGGAAATGGAGCAACCAGGACTTGAACTAGTGCCCCTGTAGATTGGTGACACTGCAGCGGCAATTTAACATGCTACGCCACAACTGCCAGCCCAAGAGGGGGAATGTTTAAATAACTTGAGGAAGTAGATGCACGCAAAACCTAGAGAATGAGCCGTGGTGTGTCTGTGATTTGCCTTCAGACCCAGATCCCAGTGTGTGTGCTGTGGACCATCGGCCCCGGCTGGGGAATGCTGGCAGCTTCACCAGGCTGACCGAGGCTCCTCAAGCTGCTTGCTGCGCGCGCGTGCACACACACACGGCTGGGTTTGTGAGTGTCTTGCTTTGTCCTGATGCCAGGAGAACTGCCTGAACGCGGATGTGGTGGAGCAGATCTACAAGCGCAACCCCATCCTGCGCTACACCCAGCACCCGCTGCACTCCCCACTGCTGCCCCTGCCCTACGGGGACATCAACCTCAACTGTGAGTCCACGCCCCAACCCGCACTCCCAGCTCCCAGGCCTGGCTGCCGTCTGCACCGTACACTCAGTAGCTGTCGCAGAGCAGGATGGGTTTGAACTTGGGCTCTTTCTTGTCCCAAATGGAGTTAAAGCTCACCTGTACTCAGGTTTCCTCTTGCAGGGGGATTTCAGAGTTAGGTTATGATAAAGGGAAAGTTTGAAGTGGGAGGCAGAAAAGCCAGCATTCCGCCTGAACTTCAGCACACACGAAGTCTTCACTGCACAGGTGCTGTCCAGTGTACAAGGGCTAATATGGACGTGGCCAACTAGAGGATGTGACAAGAGCAGCAGACAGTCTGTGTCTGGCATGCAGGGCGTCTGGGACACACAGCCCTTCGTTACAGGTTAGCCCTGGGGTCGGTAAGCTGCCCATTTGGAGGCAGATGCAAGTGCCCTGGGCACTTCACGGCGACAGAGGCCGGACTGTGTGATGGACAGCAGGTTAAATGTATTGAAGGCGCTTTCCGTGTAAGATGTTTCCGATTCAGTAAGGAGTTTATTGGGATTTAACCCTATCATAAAGGGAAACCTGTTCCACAGAACTAGATCCTAAATATGGTGCATTCCAAGTAAAGAAAGTATTGGGCAACAAGCATACTTTAACATTTAGATATGAAGTTCACTTCCCTGAACAGAGTTCAGCTCCCTCTGTTTTGGCAGCATCAATTACCTGCTTTGCTCTCAGCTGTTCTGAGCCCCTCTTTGTAACTGGTCCACTCTGTTGCTTTTCCTAGTACTCAAAGACAAAGGTTATACCACCCTTCAGGATGAAGCCATCAAGATATTCAATTCCCTGCAGCAGCTGGAGTCCATGTCTGACCCCATCCCCATCATCCAGGGCATCCTGCAGACTGGGCACGACCTCCGCCCGCTGCGTGATGAGCTGTACTGCCAGCTCATCAAGCAGACCACCAAGGTGCCACACCCCGGCAGCATGGGCAACCTGTACAGCTGGCAGATCCTGACCTGCCTCAGCTGCACCTTCCTGCCCAGTCGTGGCATTCTCAAGTACCTCAAGTTCCATCTGAAGAGGTGAGCGTGTGGCAGGCGGGCTGAGCTGGGCAGAGCTGCCCACATGGCCAGTGCTGCGAGTCCCCTGTGAGATCCAGGCCGCCCGAGCTGGGCAGAGCCGCCCACAGGGCTGGTACTATGGGTCCCAAGTGAGATCCGGGTGGGCCGAGCTGGGCAGAGCTGCCCACATGGCCAGTGCTACGAGTCCCCTGTGAGATCCGGGTGGGCAGAGCTGGGCAGAGCTGTCCACATGGCCGGCGCTGCAGGTCCCCCGTGAGATCCAAGCACCTGGGTGGGTCTCTCGGCCCAGCCTGCAAGGCACAGGCTTCCTTCCTATCCCTCCTTCAGCCGCTCAGGCTGTTACAGGAACCACATCACTGTAGGTGGAAGTGTCCTGATGTGTGGGACATTGGCTACCTTAAATTACCACTTTTCATTATGAACAGAAGAAAGACCCAAATTGGATAGTTGTTGAGAATCAAACAGGTGGAAATAATCTAAGATTTTGTTTCATATTTTGGGTTTTGTTTATTTTTTAAATTTTATTGCTCAGCAGATTCACAATGTGACGTTATGGGGTATATTTAAAAATAAAAATGCTTATGTTCGCAAAGCTGATTAACCTAGCTATCGTCCCCACGTATGTGACAAGAGCAGCTGAAAGCTACTTCTGCTTTGGCTGGCTCAGGATAGATGCGATTCCTTGAAGCAGTGAGCTCGGCGGGGTGGGGGCTTCTCCATCTTGATCTGCTGCCCCCAGCCCCACCACCCACAGCCAGCCAGCCAGCCTCTAGCTAGCAATTGACAGTCCCTGTTTGTCTCCTAGGATACGGGAACAGTTTCCAGGAACCGAGATGGAAAAATATGCCCTCTTCATTTACGAATCTCTGAAGAAAACCAAATGCAGAGAGTTTGTGCCTTCCCGGGATGAGATCGAAGCGCTGATCCACAGGCAGGAAATGACGTCCACGGTGTACTGCCACGGAGGAGGCTCCTGCAAGATCACCATCAACTCCCACACCACGGCCGGGGAGGTGAGCGTGTAACTGCTGGTGTGTGCTGGACAGGGAGACTGTACATAGCAGCTGGGCTGTCGTGCACAGCTGCTCAGCAAGCAGGTTAAAAAGGGGAACCCACAGCCAACCGCACGGAGATGAGTGCGGAGTTAAACTCATGCCGAAAAACCTGAGACAGTAATTGAGCCTCTGAGCATCTGGTGGCGATGGCAGACCCAGCTCAGCGGGACCCACTGTGATGGGGAGCAGGGTGTCACAGCACACGGGTCTATCTAAAATACTGGGTTAGGGAAACGTATTTCCTTCTGGAAATGTAAACTTGGTATTATGAAACCAGTTGGCTCCAAGGATAGTGTAATAAAACCCCACAATGCTTTTCGTGGGCAAGAAATGCTGTTGAAATCACCTGTTTCTTGGCGCGCGTGACTGTATCTGAGAACTGCTGGGATTTAAGCTTGTCCTGCAGAAGAGACTCTATGATGGGGCGAAAGGGAGATGCCCTCCCTAGTGAACCAGGTTCACTTCCCAGGCTGACAGTGGCCAGGCCCGTCCTCTGCTGTGACACTGGACAGTGTGCCCTAAGTAGGGATGCCCAGTAGGTTCACTAGGACTAGTCCCATCTGTAGCATGGGTGTGCAAGAAGTCAGTCCAGCATCTGTCCTGTAGTCAATAGAGTGTTACCCTGTGGTCTTTTGATAAAGAAGAGGTGCAGTCGATTTTTAAGGAGCAAGGGCCAGGGAGCACCTCTGAACCTCCGGGGTAACCTCCAAGGTGGTTTTAGGGGGCTGCCTGGACCCCCGACTGGCACCGACAGCTCCCTCCAGGTTGGGGTGAAGGCATGGAGGGCCCAGCCCATGGAGCTGAAAGCCTCACGTGTGTCCTGCAGGTAGTGGAGAAGCTGATCCGAGGCCTGGCCATGGAGGACAGCAGGAACATGTTCGCCCTGTTCGAGTACAACGGCCACGTCGACAAAGCCATTGAGAGCCGAACCATCGTGGCGGATGTTTTAGCCAAGTTTGAGAAGTAAGTTCCATCTCCTGGAACTGCCAGAAGGGGGCGTAAAGAAAGGGCTCGGCCTTCGCCTGCCCCATCTCGGTGCCTTGCTGTCTGCTTTGCCTGCTGGGGGTGTGCTGGGTGTTTTCTGTCTCCTCACTGCTGTGTGTCTCCATGCCTAGAGAAGGCTCTGATCTGAAACGTCATGAAACTCATTTGGGGCCTTTTGGCCACTCTCAGGGCCCTGTTGTGCCCAGGATCTTAGGGTTCTCAGATTCTCGGGCTTTCGTTTGTCATTGGCTTTGAAATCAGGCCGATGGGCTCAAGCCAGCTCGTACACTTAGAAAGTGGCCTTAGGGCTGTTTGATGTGCCACGCCGTGTTCCGGGCCAGCACAGCGTGTGCAGTGTAAGCACGGCCCCGACGAGAACACTCATACCCATTTTTGCTAAGGCTTGTAAGCTGTGAGAATCTGGGCAAAGGAAGTGAAGAGCTAGCTTTAGCTTCTTCCTGCGGATTCTGCGTGATGCTTAGCTGAGACCCTCAGGAAACAGTAGTTAGCCCAGATCTCGCTCAAGGCTGCTTCTTGGTTTTCTTTCTTTCTTTCTAATTTAAATTTTATTTTTGATATCATTTATATAGTTCAGGGGATGGCTTGTTGGTTTTCTCAAGGTGACACTGGGTAGAAGCTTGCTTCCCAGCTCTGTTTAAATGAAAGTGCTGAGCAAGTCCTCTCTCCCGTGGTGGGTCGCCCTCGGGTTTCTGCCTTCTGAGTTTCTGTGACTTTTTTAGGCTTGCTGCCACGGCAGACACAGGGGACCTGCCCTGGAAATTCTACTTCAAGCTGTACTGCTTTCTGGACACAGACAGTGTGCCAAAGGACAGCGTGGAGTTTGCATTTATGTTTGAACAGGTAAGAGGAAAGCGCAGGGACATTCCTTTCTGGGCGAGGGCGGGGCGGCCGCACGCACTCACCTGCCCTGCTCGTCCCCAGCCAGCCTGGGGGCAGTGCGTGCGTGTCTTCCTGGCGCAGCTGAGGCCAGATGCCCGATGGAGCTGTGCGTGTTCATGTGAATGTCTGTGCCGGCAACATTTCTCCTTACAAGAGAAAAGGAGAGATACCATAAGGTGTAAAACACGTGGCATGACTTCAGTGGGATCCGTGCAGGGGAGAAATTTAGATTTAAAGAAGTGGGGAGGGGTGACGGTGGGCTGGTCAGGAAAAGCAGCGTTGAAACAAGGTCCTGATGGAGTTCAGCAAGTCGTGCAGCGTCCTGGGGCACGGCAGCACCTTGACCATGAGGCTGTTGCCCACCTCGTTTCAGGCCCATGAAGCGGTCATCCACGGCCACCATCCTGCCCCGGAGGAGAGCCTGCAGGTCCTGGCTGCCTTGCGGCTGCAGTACCTACAGGGAGATTACTCGCTGCATACGGCCATCCCAGCCCTGGAGGAAGTGTATTCGCTACAGAGACTGAAGGCCCGCATCAGCCAGTCCACCAAGAGCTTCACGCCGCAGTGTGAGCGGCTGGAGAAGAGACGGACGAGCTTCCTGGAGGGCACGCTGAGGCGAAGCTTCCGGACGGGGTCCGTGGGGAAGCAGAAGGCCGAGGAGGAGCAGATGCTGGACATGTGGGTGAAGGAAGAAGTCTGCTCTGTTCGCGCCAGCATCCTGGACAAGTGGAAGAAATTTCAGGGAATGAGCCAGGAGCAGGCCATGGCCAAGTACATGGCCTTGATCAAGGAATGGCCTGGCTACGGGTCCACACTCTTCGATGTGGAGGTAAGAAGGAGCTATTGCATGCTGTGGGCAGATGGGGGGCCGCCGCCTCAGGGTGACGGAGGAGGGGACAGGTGACCCCTGGCCATCTGGAAGGAGAGCGAGATGGGACAGTTGGCTCTTTGGATGTCTCCCACCACTCCTAGGTTTTTCCTCCTCTTTGCAGAAAATGCTTATGTAGAGTAGAAAGTAAGACACAATTGAGATGTGTATTTGTTATTAACTTTATTCTTTCTCATGGAGGTTATACAATCTACATTTTAAATTTAAAAAAAGTCAAAGATATACACAACTTAGGAACTTTGGCTATATTTTTGTTAGATTTTTGTTGGAACCATCTCTTGGAGGGTAATAATTTCAACTTCGTAATTAGAAGTTGGCCATTATCATCAACCCAGCATTCATTTGGTTCTGTCTTCCTGATGTGGACATTGGAGGGGAGGCCTGCTAACAGACCACAGGAGAATTTGGCAAAGTGTGGGCATGGCGGCCAGGCACTGCCCCTTCTTGTATGTCAGTGCACTTTAAAGAGAACACAGCCAGGTTCGCTTCTTTACGTATTTTCTTTGGCTGCTTTTGTGAACAAGTGGCAGGGTTGATTGAGATGACCTGCCAAGTCTGAAATGTTTTACTCTCTGGCCCTGCCAGAAGAGTTGGGCAGCCCCTGTTCTAGAGATGCTTTTGTTTTTCTTAGGAGCACAGTAGGTCTGCACATTGCCTGATGAGTTCAAATGGAAGCTCTGTGAAAATCTACAGATTCAGTCCAGGAGCCCTTTAGGCTTTCTGTGAGATGCTACTTGGGAGTGGGTTGCTGAGGTTCCGTTTGTTGCCTCGCATCAGCCAGTCAGACATTTGCACCATGCACCTGCTCTTTGCAGCCTGCCTAACTTTCCTCTCCCCGGACTTGTTATCCCTCATGCGTGGGTTGCTCTTGTCTCCCATTGCTGTATGATTAAACTGCACAAACCCCACCTCCACTGTGCATACAGAACCGTGCTCTCCTTGCAAAAAGGAACAAAAACTGCTCAGCACAGAGCGACAGGGCCTTTTCCTCTGGGAAGCCAGGCTTTGTGCTGGAGGAAGCACCATCCCAGACAGAACTGGAGGCAGATCTAGACCACTGGGCCTGCCTGGGCTGCTTGGAGGATTGGGAGGTCCGTGTCAAGTTCCTCAGCCAGCAGACATCGTCAGGTTGCTCAAGATACAAAAAGAAATGAGAGTGACAGCTAGGTGTTGGACCGTACCAATCCAATCTCCCCAAATGCGCAAGGTGGTTCAAGCAGCCGAGAACCCACCAGGATAGCTAAGGGGCACCGTTGCTCGGATGCCAGTCGTTGAGTGGACTTGCTCACTGAGTGCACTCACTGTCCCGTGCTGAGGGCCGTAGGCCTGTGCATGCTTTGTGATCGGCCTCTAATACTATCTCACCCACCAGTGCAAGGAAGGCGGCTTCCCCCAGGAGCTCTGGCTGGGTGTGAGCGCCGAGGCCGTCTCCGTCTATAAGCGTGGGGAGGGGAGGCCGCTGGAGGTCTTCCAGTACGAGCACATCCTGTCCTTTGGAGCACCGCTGGCCAACACATACAAGATCGTGGTGGACGACAGGGAGCTGCTCTTTGAAACCAGTGAGGTAAGAGGCAAGAACCAAAACAGCTTGGTCTCAGCAAGGTACAGGATAGCCCTTCCCGGGATGCCTCTGGCCAGAGCATCTTATTCGAGTATTTCTCTCTAATGTCTGTGAAGAAAAGAGTGTGGTGGTCCCTCCCCAGCTGCTCCACGTGTGACACTCCATTCCTTGCACAATCTGCACAGAGCAATGGGCTCCATAGACTCCGGAGCTTCGCCAGGGAGGAGGGGAAGAGGCAAAGGCTGTGGCTGGCAGTGAGGGAAGCCTGCAGCCAGCGAACCACGGCAGGTTGGCTGGTTCTGATGCTGTACACGAAGCGGAGGGAGCTGAGAGGCCTGCTGCGCCGGACACAGCTGATCAGGGTTGCAGAGCCGAACACACAGCCTAGAAAGCTAGGAGCTGTCTGCTGCCAGGCTTCAAAACTGATAATCCAAGAAGCCATGGAGGCTTCCAGAGAGCAGCTGTGAGGGTGTGAACAGCACTGAATGGTTGCTACCCCCAGGCACCTGCTGCTAGGAGCGGGGAGGCTGGGAGGAACCAGGTGGTGTGATCAGCCAGCGATGCGGTGCCAGGGTTGAGCCAAGGAGGCTACATGGCTTGGTTCAGTCCGGCAGACACCAGAAGCCTGCTGTGGGATCTCCCAGTGTGGGTGATGGCAGGACAGTGAGGGGGATCACAGTGATGAGTTGGGATACATTTAGCAGCAATCTAGCCTGCTTTGAGGCATGTAGGCCCAGAGCACAGGAGGGAGCCTGGACGTCGAGAGCAGGTCCTGGCTCATGGAGCAGAAGCACCAATGTCTTGGGAGCCCATCCTGGCAGTCCTGGTAAAAGCACTGTATGGCATCCGGTTGACGGACTGAAGGATGCGATCTGAGGCTGGGGCCGTGAGCTCCACGCCTGAACATTTCCCCTCAGTGGACATCATCAGTCCTCTCCTGATGCCTCCAGTGTCTACAATCTGACCCTGACCATCAGGTCAGTTCTGTGGTGGTGCACACTGGGAAAGCATCAGCTCCCTGGACACTTGGCTAGGAAGAATTGAAAGCAGCTGAACTCTCAGCTTCCTGCAAAGCTTGAGGCATAGATTAGCATTGAACACCCCAGGTGGCTTGGGCAGGAAGGGTGGGCAGGGAAGACCTAGTGACCGGGCAGGGTTCCTGAGCCAGCAGAGGCTCCTGACCGTGTGTGGTTCCACTTCCTGGCAGGTGGTGGACGTGGCCAAGCTCATGAAAGCCTACATCAGCATGATCGTGAAGAAGCGCTACAGCACCACACGCTCCACGAGCAGCCGGGGCAGCTCCAGGTGAGGGTGGCAGTGAACCCACACGCCTGCAACCCCGATGTGCCGCCCTCAGGCCCCGAGCAGAGCTGCCTGGCCCTCCTGGAAGCCCCGGCTCTGAGGGAGGAGTCTCCCAGGGTCCTGTCACCCTGCCCGCTTCCGTGGCTGTGTATAAGCTGTCCACACCTTAACAGTCTGCACAATTTCCAAAGCTTTACTACTTGTAGATGACACATGCCTTAAACAAGAGCGAGGAGCGTTCTCAAGCTGCGGCCAAAGCAGCCAGAAGTGCCTTAACTTGTGGAACCAACCGGACCGACCTTAACTGTGCTACTGAAGGGAAAGGCTCCCCTGCCTGCTTCCCAGGGACTCACAGAGCTGGGGGGTGGGGGGGACCGTGTACCCATCACTTGTGCACTAACCTCCCAGCCTGACGGCCCTGACTTGGAGAGAAGGTGAGGAGGGGTGGGGAGGGGCCGAGAGGCCAGGGGCGTGGGTGTTGTAGCTAGAGAGCTGCTGGCAGCCTTCCTCGTGGACCTGTAGTAACATTGTCCTGTTGCATCTTTTCAGTGCATGCGCTTGCGTGTGCATGCGTGTGTTCATAAACACAACACTCGATCAATGTTTCACGAGCATTAAAAGCGAAGGGGAAAGAGGATGTGCAATGGCACAAACGCTCGGCGTGTCTGTTTTAACGGTCAGGAGTCCGTCCTCAGTCGTAGCTGACGAGGTGGTTTTTATCAACAAACCGGAACCCGGATTTCCCTGTCTTTGCTGTTGTCTCACAAAACGTGTTTCGATCCAGTTTTGCTCTCCGTGTAGCCCAGCCTGCAGTCTGTGGCTGCTGCGTCCCACACGGGCTGGCCGGCTCCCAGAGACCTGAAGCCCTCACGCCGCCGACTCCAGGGCTGTGTGCACACTGATATGAAGTCACGTAGGAGTCGTGGGTTTTTTTTTTTTTTAAGATTTAAGTTAAAAAAAGCATTTCTTTGAGGGTTAACTTCCATCACTCTGGGTGGATTACCATAGAGCCATGGTGAATGGGGGAGCAGAGAGTATGTTCCTGAAAGGGGTGACATGAGCGAATCTTCCACAGACCCTGAGACTAAATGCTGAGGCTCTAATCAAACACACCAAGGCTTTATCCCGTATGACCAGAAGGCAAAGAAGCTGGTCTCGGCCGTTTATTTTTCTATGGAAAAGTTTTAAAGGCTTGGGCCAACTAATCTACCAACCAACAGAAAAATACATCTGCCTTATCCCTTGTGGGAGACCATGCAAAACTGTTGTTCGTTGGCTCACAGCAAATCTGGCAATAAAAGATCTTAGCTTACACAATGTGTGTTGCTTGTGTCCGAGGCAACTGATCAACTGCTGGGGGGAGGAGCGGGGTTCTTGTGAGTTTTTGGTTCTAAGCGTGTACCTGTTGTGCGGTCATCCCCTGGTGCCCACAGAGATCGGTCCCAGGATGGCCCGGAGACGCGCCAGAAGTCACCGATGCTTGAGCAGTTAGATAAAATGGCCTGGGGTTTGCCTCCAGCAAGTGAGGTCGTCTCTTATACAGTGTAATCCGACTGTCAGTGCTGTGTGCACGGTGGCCAGGCTGCACTGCTGGGCCACAGCTAGGCCAGCTGGAGGAGTGGGTCTTTGCTTCTGTGTGACAGCTGGATGGCAGGTCCAAGATCGGGTGTCGGTCTGGCCCCGGTGTGAACATCTGGAGAGTGAGCCAGGAGACGAAGGGTCTCTCTCTGGCTCTGTTTCTTTCTGACTCTCTGTCTTTCAACTCAGAAAGCCAAAAGTGGAAAAGATGGCCTCAGCACAGGCTTTGTTACTCCAGCCGTGTTTTACTTCTTTTGGAAGAGAATATATACAGAACTTAAACCTTTTTTTTTTTTGTTCAGAAAGCAGAGGTAGGAAGACTCCTCTCAATCAGAGCCCCCGGTCACCCATTTTCTCTTTTGCAGAAGCAGCTATTTTTTTTTTTTTTGCCACTTTGTGAAGGCTTCTGGAAATATTTTAGCCAGTCTAAACATATACTGATGTATATTTTCCCTGTCCCAGTTCCTTTAAAGAAAAAAGCATACACTGTTAGATACCTTGCTTTGGCACCCGAAATGGGATTTGAGCTGACACCCCAGGCTCGAGCCTGGGAGGGGCCTTACTCTTCTCCATAATTTTATAGTAACCCAAGCTACTCTCGGGGGGAGAAAAATAGGTCACCTAGTTTCTCCCTGAAAAATAGTCCAAAAATCTAAGAAGGCAAGCAGTTGTGTTTAGTGTTAAGGCTTCTTGTTCAGGTGGCATTGCCCGTTCGAGCCGAAAGCGCCCGCGCGGAGCTCTGCAGCACGTGCCCTCTGTTGCAGTGCCTTGCGCGGGAGCCGCGTCTCCGGGAGCTGACGCCGGCGTAGGAGGCAAAGCCGATACTCCTCAGACCAGCCTGCGCCTGGCCACTGCTTTGTACCATGGACAGAGCAGCATGGAGACTCTTGCCCTGCCATTTTAAAAATATTTGCTGCTATATTTTTTATTAGAGTTACAGAGAAGGGGAGATTTTCACCTGCTGGTTCACTCCCCTAGACATCACCCTGGGCTGGACGGGGTCGAAGCCAGGAGCCAGGAACTCCTCTGGGTCTCCCACATGGGTGCAGGGGCCCGAACACTTGGCACAAGCCCCGCAAATTTCCCAGGCCATTATTAGCAGAGAGCTGGATCAGAAGTGGAACAGCCATGACACCAGCTGCAACCAAATGGACTGTCAGTGTTGCAGGCAGCAGTTTTACCTACTGTGCCACAATGCTTGTCCCAGTTTTCTGCTTTTTGAGCTGTTGATATTCTCACCATCACCAACTTCAAGGTCAAGGCGGCTTCCCTGAGTGCAGGTTAGAACCATATGCAGTGTTGGTGTGATCCAAGGCCTGCCCGCGGGGAGCGTGACACATAGCAGCGGAGAGGGCCTTTATTTCAGCACAATGCGCAGCTAGGCCTTTGCTGATTCAGAAGAAAGAGCTCTGAAGTAGCAAGGCCTGCCCGCGGGAAGGCTCAGATGCTCTGCATGGAGGAGATAAAGATGCGCTCAGTCCAGCCTGTGCCTGGCTTCAGTGTTCCCAGGGACTTCCATTTCCTGTTCAAGTACTAACAGGGTTACAGTGATGACCACTCAGAGATGCAGGCAGGCATCCTGACAGCTGCAGAAGACAGCCCACGGCTCCTGGAGAACATGGCTCTGCAGGAGTTACCGAGCCCTCCGGCAGGGAGGGAATTTAATAGATGCCTAGCTAGAGAAAAGAGAACCCCAAGTCTCGGCATCATTCAGGGTTAAGTCACTTCAAAGTGGATGTGTGAGAGCTTCCATCCTCTGCCCCACGTCTGCTGTTGCCACATCGGTCGGACCAGCCTGGGCCGAGATTCAGACAGGTGCTCCGTGTGAGTGGCTGCAGCCAGTTGCTGTGAGCCATGGCCTGCTGCTCACTGGGTCTGCGGGAGCTGAGCGGGGCTCGGGCGTGCCAGGAAGGGATAGCCGCATCTCGGCCAGTGACTGAGCTGCTGGGCCCAAAGCATGCTTCTAACTAGCTGTAATTTTCTAATATCTTGCTCTTCGGGTTTAAAGCCCCACACTCCTTCAGTGTGGCTTTCCAGAGAAGCTGAACCATATTTACTAAGTTGGTTAGAACTTAGTTGGGAGTACAGTAAATGCCAACAGAGCAGTGTGTTGTGGGCTGGGCAGGGTCCAAGCTCCTGTCACCGATGCTCTGAGGACAGGTGCAAGTGTGGTGCACAAAGTGGTAAAGTTGAGTAAGAGGTGAGGGGCACACACACGAGGGTGGGTATTTTTCAGGAATAGTGCGGGCTGAGAAGGAAGAGCTGGAGGAGGGAAGTACAGAGATAGCCCCCTGGGGGAGAAAGAAGGAACCGACTCTGAAGGCCTCTCTGGTGCTGGGAAGGGATTGGCTAGGTGGCACTTCCCCCAGGGCCTGGCGAGGGGAGAGACATCCAGAAAGGAGCTATTTGACTGACAGGCAGATGGGACCGTGTAGGGTGGAGGAAGTGTGGCTTCCAGCTCCTGGCTGAATCTGCTACCTGCCTGCATCCCATATCAGCTGGAACACACAAATGAAGAAAGCGAATGAGGCGGATGAGCTGTTCGCTGCCGTACTCACCCAAGGCTTCTCGGTTCAATTCGGACAGGTCGATTTTGCCCAGTTGTGGACTGTCTCCTGTTTCGAGCTGCCGATGAGATGGCTCTGCTCTGTCCCGGGTGATTCTCATTTAACCAGCCTTGCCTAGTGTACAAGGCATTTGGCAAAATCTCAGAGTTTAAGGGGTCAAACAAGAGCTCCTGGTGCTTGGATTTGCAGCTGACACATTGTTCATTCTGCCACATACTGTTACACTGTTGACCTAAAGAAGCCTAGAACCAGATGCTGCCCCAGAGCTGGGCTTAGGGTTCTGTTGGGCATTGCTTTACAAGTCACTCAACCTGGCTGGAGAATTGTGGCCATATTTCTCATCAGCCACACTGGCTGAAAACCACAACCCAATTTCCAAAGTAAAATACATCTCCTCTTGACAAGGACAAAGTTCCCCTGCCTATTCGTAGAGAGCTTGTGCTTGACGCGGGTCTGTGTATTCCTGCGGCTCCTGTGACCTGGTAGAGTCATGAATTTTTTAGAAGGGAATTTGCCGCTTTTCCTCTAGGGCATGCCCTCTCCCAAGCACCGTGCAGGTGAGAAGCACCATGGCCGCGCATTGCTGCCTGCCCTTAGGAGATCCTTTCCTTCCCCGGATGCTGTACAGGTGACTCATGTCATTCAGACCTTGTCTTGAGCAGCACCTGCGGAAAGGCGCCCCCTCAGCCCCAGATATGAGCCAGCTGGAATTCATCAGTCATCATGCCTACCATGAAGAACCATGCCTGTTTGCTGCAAGTTGTCCCTGGTTAGAATGTAAACTCTGGGACAGCGGCAATATTATGACTTTGACCTAGTGAACTGAACGTTTGTCTGAACTTACAAGTCTTAACATTTCTGAATTAAAGTAAAAAAAAAA